AGTTGGACGTAGATAGGATAGTTGAGAAGGCATTTGGTGTGCTTGCCTTTTATTGGTCAGTGCATTGAGTATAGGAGTTGGGAGGTCATGTTGCAGCTGTACAGGACATTGGTTAGGCCACTTTTGGAATAATGTGTGCAATTCTCATCTCCCTGCTGTAGGAAGGATGTTGTGAAACTTGACAGGGTTCAGAAAAGCTTTACAAAGATGTTGCCAGAGTTGTAGGGATTGAGCTACAGGCAGAGGCTGAATAGACTGGGACTATTTTCCTTGGAGCATTGGAGGCTGAGAGGTAACCTTACAGAGGTTGATAAAATCATGAGGGGCATGGTCTTTTCCGTGTTGTATATCTCCATGGCTTTAACACCTTAATCGAGGAGAGAATGATGGGAAGTTTGTTTTTAGAGGGAGCCTCCAGTCTTTTTTTTCATGGAGTGTGGGTGTCATTGGCCTTGCAAGCACTTGTTGCCTGTCTCCGCATGCCCTTTATCTGAATGGCTTGCTTGGCCATTTCAGAGAACAGTTAAGAGTCGAGCTCATCGTAATGGGTGTGGACACTCCTATAGACCAGACCAGGGAAGGATGGCCGGTTTCTTTCTCAATGAGAATTAATTAACCAGATGGGTTTTTAATGGGTTATGTGGTCACCATTAGGCTTGTGTTTTTAAAAAACAAGATTTCTTTTATTAGTGGCTGTAAACTTGGCTGCCAGTGGTGGAGTGATTTTAAGAAATGGGACACATGCTACTCAACTACTTTTCTTCCGCTGATAGGAGCTGTGAACAACTTTGTAGTCAGTGAGCTGTAGCTGGATTAACATGTTGAGCAAAGGTAGTTTGGCATCATGAATTTGGTGGTACTCTGGCTGGCCACTCTTGCTGTGCAGGTCAACAAGAATGCTTGGACTGTGATCAGCAGTAACATGAAGATTCACAGCTGAGTCAGTGCAGGTGACTGACCTTTGCATCCTCATTGAGTATCTCAGGGGGACAAGATATCCGGGCATTTAGGAGAAAATCAGCCTGTTCGCCCACATGATGTGCAACAGAAAATCGTGATCTTGGCTAGACATCAGTCTCCAATTGAGGAATGACTGGAGGGGGGGACATGAACCCACAACCTTCTGACTGGAAGATGAGTGTTACTAGCTGAGACAAAACTGATGCTAACTACTGAAGCAGACTGCCTGGTCATTATATTTCTGTTTGTATACATTGTTTTCTACAATGACTACACTTCAAATTAAACCTCATTGATTATTATGGGAATTTGTGATGTTTGACAGTCATGAAAAGTGCTATGAAAATGCACATCATGTCTGTCTTTCCTTTGCTATGCTGGAATAAGCGTGACTTTGCTCTTCATGAGGTCAGCTCACTCAACTGTTCTGCTTTCTGTGGTCAGTCATTAGTTTCTTGTCTTGAGGCAGATCTTGAGGTTTGAAAGAAGTGATAGTGGTTTTTTCACCTTCCTAAAGGTGAAAGTATAATTGGACACATCTCTTTTTTTTTTCCTCAGCCATAACAAGTACAGTTACCATGACAAGTGAGAGTCTTATCAAGGATAAGTGGATATGATGTGGCATCTGTTGCCTTCATTGACTCTGTGTAGTTCATCCGAAAGTGATGTTTTGATATCACTGGTTCTCTCGGCACAGAATGAGCCATTTGTCCTATCGTTCCTCTGGCTCTTTGAAACAGTTGCCCAGTGAGTCCTATAACCCCACTCCTTTCCCATTGACCTGCAAACGTTTCCTGTCACAAGTATTTGTCAGAGTCCCTTTTGACAGTTACTGTTGAATCATGTCACTAACATCTCTATTTCTAAATCGTAGCAATTCTTAGTCCCCCCCCCCCCCTTAAAGTAAATGTAAAAGTATATAAGTGATCGTTAAAATAATATCAGGATTGTGAATGGAGGGAATAAAGTATCAATGTGGTCTTAAAATTGTGGGGTTAGAAACTGAAAAGAATAGAGATTATCATTTGTGGAGAGCTATGAAGTGGGAAATTGAAACGTGCAGTTTTAATTAAGTTTTCACTTTAAAGTATGATGAACCAAATTATTTCCATTATTATTTTAGTGGCCATATTTATACTGGAAAATGCTTATGCAAACTTGTCATCCTATAATCACCTCTACTGTTGGGAGGCACTTAATGCAGCATAACTGTTTACTTAGTTTCCATTATAAATATGGGCATACTATTTTTTTCAGCATAAATTATTATCCAGAAGTTCCAGGATTTTGACTCAGCATTGAAGAAATGGCAGATATATGCACAAATGAAAGATGTGTGGGGTGATTAATATCTTTGTACTTATAGATGATGGAGGTTTGGAAGGTGTTATCACAAACATCTTTGGCATCTTGCTGTAGAACCTCCCACAAATGTTACATGCTGAAGCCGCATTGTGCTTGTGATTTTTGAAAAAAAACCTATAAATGTTGGAAATCAGAATAAGCAATCAGAACAGGAACTGTTGTGAATGCACAGCTGGCCTGTTTGCATCTGCAGATTAAAGAAATGTTAGCATTTTGACAAAACTGTTAAAGGCTGGAACTGAACAACATGATTTATGCAGCTAATGAACTGCTTCAAAAGCATATATTTTATGTTAGACATTGGAAAGTTAATAAGTGCAGCATTTGCAAAATTTAAACTTGCCTCTGGTATCTTTACCCGATTCTTGTTGCTTATGGATGAGTACATTAGAACTTCCGCTGTCTGTCCTTTCCTGAAGGGACATTTTAAGGAAGATCATGGGAATTGAAAGAATAACAGTTCAAAATTTGCTCTGGCCTATTTGATAACTCGAATTAGGAGGTGGTGGTGTCACTAGGCTAGTAATTCCGAGCCCCAAGCTAATGTTCTGGGGGCATGGGTTTGAATCCCACCATGGCAGATGGTAGAATTTAAATTCAATAAAAATCTGGAATTGGAAGCTCATTTAAAGGTGACTGTGTAACCATTGTCTGTTCACTAATGTCACCTAACCAATCTGATTCATTTAATGTCTTTTAGGAAAGGAAATTTGCTATCCTTACCTGGTCTGACCTATATATGACTCCAGGCCCACAGCAATTTGGTTGGCTATTAACTGCCCTCAGCCCCTTGAGTGGCTTGCGAAGATCATCTCAACTGAGAATGGACAAGAAATCCTGGCCTAGCCAGTGACACCCATGTCCTATGAATGAATAAAAAAAAAATAGGTGAGATGTGAGAGATTAAAGTCAATAAGATGAGAATATTGGAAATTAGGTCGAACCAACCTTAAGCTGTGAGGCTGATTTTTTTGCTGCTGGTGACGCAGTTGGCAATAGTTGTACAGTCAGAATCATTACAGCATAAAGACAGGCCCTTCAGCCCACTCTGTCTTTGCTGGCCAGCAAACACCAAACTACACTAATCCCATTTATCTGCACTTGGTCCATAGCCTACTCTTCCCTGGCATTTTTAGTGTGTACCCAGATGCTGCTTAAATGTAGCCAGGGTATTTGCCTCCACCACCCCCTCAGGCAGCACGTTCCATATTTCTACTACCACCTGGGTGAAACCTTCTCCTCAGATCTTTTCTAAACCATTTACTCCTCACTTTTTTTTTTAAGCTTAATGTCCTCTGCTCTTAGACATGTCTTCCATGAGCAGAGATTCTCATTATCTATTCTGTCTGTGCCTCTCTCAATTTCCTATACCTTAATCAGATCCCCATCTCCCCAACCTGTCTTGCTGCAAGGGAAACAAACCCAACCTGTCCATAAACTGACACTTTTCATCTCAGACAACATCCTGGTGAATCTCCTTTATACCCTGTCCGGTGTAATCATGTCCTTCCGATAGCGTGGCATCCAGAACTGCACAGTGTTCCATTGGTGGCCTAACCAATGTTTTATAAAGTTATAAATAAGAATTCTTTGCTCCTACATTGTATGCTTTGGCTAATGAAGGCAAACATTTCGTAAACTGTCTTCACTACCCTGTCTACCTGTACTGACATCTTCAAAGATCATGGACTTGCACACCAAGATCTCTTTGTTCCTCAGTACTCCCTAAGGACCTACCATCCATTTGTGTGTGTATATCCTTATTAGACCTCCCAAAATACATCATCTCGCACTTATTTGGATTAAATTCTATCTGCCTTTGCTCTACTCCAATTTACCAGCTGCTCGATATCAGACTGTAGCCTGAGACCGCCTTCCTCACTATCAACAACACTACCAGTTTTCTTGTCATCAGTGGGCTATGTAACAGGATGATGACTCACATGAGCCATTGCCTGGCAGAAGACTTGGTGTATAACTATAAAGTAAGGACTCTTGTAGCAGAGTGGTATGGTTCAAATCCTGCTTGCTCTAGTCAAAACATACCTGAACAGGTTGATTTTAAATTATCTCTAGACTAGAAGGTGAGCAGCTGGAGCATAACCATGGAAATTTCACAGTAACTTCACATGTACTATTCCCATTTTACTTGGCTCTGTTTTTAAAACAAACAAAGTTTTTAAATTGTTCCACAGATTTCATATCAACCAGGAAGTGCAAGCAACCAGAAATGTTTTTTTGGCTGGGAGTAGAGAATTCTGGACTCCCTGTATTACTTTAATGATATTTGAGTCATAGGTAGTGTTTGTTTTAATGCTAAATTTGGAGTGGTCAAATCTGAGCATTCAGTTCTAAATTTTCCGTTTCGTGAATAGCAAATTTTTATCTTTGAACTTCTATAATATGTTTTCAAAATCCACTGTGCTCCACCCCTTGATATTTTCTCTCACTGCCTTCTCTCACATTTTATTCTATTTCAAAGTGTAGACCAAGGGTTTTGACCTTGGCTCTGAGTTTAGACCTATTACTGGCAAGAATTGAAAAACCAAGCTTAAGATTTAAGCTGGGCCAATATGAAAGAGTGTAAACAACTGTTGCAACTTGTACTGGATGTGTATGCTGTGCAGGACTAGAATTTTGCTTTAAAGTAATGATTTCTGTCTCTTCTGTTACAGAGTTACTAGAATTCATGTGAACATGTTGAAGAGAAAGAAGCCTCATAGGTAAGCAAACATCACGAGACAAGAAAGCAACTTGCTTCCATTTTGTTTTGTCTTGTTGATTTCAGTTGACTTGGAACCCACGAGAATCTGGTTTTTCTTTAGACATTGCCCATGTGTCCCAGATGTGGCCTGTTCCGACTGGAGTCTGTCGAGGTTTGGGTCTAAGGAGTAGCGTTGTGGAATTTATCGCCTGTGCATGTACATGCAAATGGGCAATGTCCACTGTGTGTGTGTGTGTGTGTGTGTGTGTGTGTGTGTGTGTGTGTGTGTTGTAGTCTGTGTACTGCAAAAGGAATACATAGAAAATAGGTGCAGAAGTAGGCCATTTGGCCCTTTGAGTTTACACCACCATCTTAGTCTGTTCATGCAATTTCAGCATCCCACTTCTGTTTTCTCTCCATACCCCTTGATCCCTTTTGCCCCAAGGGCCATGTCCAGTGTTCTCTTGAATAAACCTGATGAATTGGCCCCAATAGCTCTCTGTGGTAGAGAATTCCACAGGTTCACAACTCTGAATGAAGAAATTCTTCCTCATGTCAGTCCTGAATGGCTTACCCTTTTTTCTTAGACTATGACCCTTAGTTCTAGTGCTAGTGAAGTTGCAGCACTTCAAACTTTGCAGGCAATGCATAACTTTTTAGGATACTAACGAGTTGCTCAGTGAGGCTCCTTCAACGGCACCTTGAAAAACTCACAACCTCTACAATCTAGAAGGACAATGTCAGCGTCTGCAAAATATCCTCCAAACCACACATCGTCCTGGCTTGGAACTATATTGCTGTTAGTTCCTTCACTATTGCTGAGTCAAAATGTTAAAACTGCCTTCCTAACAGCACTGTGCATGTCCCTACACTAGAGAGACTAAATCAGTTCAAGAAGACAGCTCACCCCCATCATCTCGAGAACAGACAATGCATGCTGGCCTACCTAGTGATACCCATGGCCCAGGAGTGAATGAATTTAAACAAAAAAAATGGATACCTAGGTGTACTTTAAAGGAAAGCTGGAACAATGCTTGTGGGAGAATGGAATATAGGGTTATTCAAAGAGTGAGATGGAGTAAGATGGCAGGAGGCTTGTGCATGACATAAACATGGTTATGGCCCATTTTGCCTGATTGCACATTAATGATAAACATGAACAGAATTGGGAAGAATGTCCCCAGTGACTCATTTGGTCATGCTGTTTCCCAAATGTGAACCGTACAGACTTGGGAAGTCCCGGCTCAGTTCCTGGTCTATATGGAGCTGGGAGTTGGATGGAGAAGTAACAGTTGCACAATTAATGTATGCGTATGTGTCTGCATTAGAAGAGATAGCTAAACCTCCTGCTCGATTTGTTGATTTCCAATTGGCTCCCACCCGTGTAACCAAGCCTCCTTGGAGGCTAAGGTTGAGAACCGCTGCAGTTCCCCTTCATTAAGTTCACCTACTAACATGCCCCTGCTGACACTCGGCATGACCATGGGTCACTCACATGAATAGGCTGGTGAATTGAAGATGGTTTTGACTGCCAACTGTTTATGCACATTAAAGACTTGGCATTTTCAGGGTGGAGGGATTGAGTGAGGGCATGGGTCTGGAAGGAAAGGTAGAATTGCGACGAGATTTCAGCTATAAGCACGCTATGGTAATTTTCACACTTCCTTTGTTCAACACCTGGTTCTAGGAGTTAGAACGTGCTTCCATTTCAAGCTGTATTTGTAAGGAACACCTTGCTCTGAAAATGAGTACAGATGGAGATTAATGGCTTCCAAGATGTTTCTACGAAGATAGCCATTAATGAATTAAAATGTCAAGCGTGAATGAGTTCAATTTTATCATTGCTAAAGGATTTGATGGCTTTGAGGTTACATGGAAATTGACCTTCCTGCAAAACTTCCTTTTGTGTAAGCTTGTGATTTGGAGTCATCAGTTGGTGGTTTACGTTTTTTTTTAAAAAGCACATTAATCTTTGTCACATGGATCTTAATGTATTTAGTGAGGGAAAAGGGCATTGACTTTATTTTTAAAAACATCTCCTATTCTTTAAGTTGTCCCATGATTTTTCCACGAGCACTGAAACCCCTCTTCCCATATGAACAGCCGTAGCTAAGCCCAGCGAGTGTGTCTGCTGATACAGACATCAAAGATAAACTCGATTTCTTCTACCGAAAATCCTTGCATACTGCGCAGGCTGTCTGATTTTTTTTTTTTCCAAATTGTTTTTTGTTTTGCTTTTCTTTTCTCCCCATCTTGCTTTCCCTTTCCCCTATTGTGCTGGAGATGTTAATATAGTGGTAATGTCACCGGGTTAGTAATTCAGGTTGATCCTCTGGCACAGGTTCAAATACTGTCATTTCAACTGGTAGAAGTTAAATTCACCTGATAAAATCGGGAGTTGAAAGCTAGACTTCATGATGATAAACATGAAACTATCGTCAATTGTTCTAAAAGCCCATCTGTTTCACCAGTATCCTTCCAGGGAAGGAAGTCTGCTGTACCTGCCCAGCCTGGCCTACATGTGTCGCCAGACTGTTTTTTAAAAAAAAAAAATCACGTCTTTTTATTTTTCTGTATCTTTTAAATTTATGGAGTGAATTGGGGAAAGTTTTTTTTTAAGCAGAGGTTTGCTAAAGGATTAATGCAGTTTTTAAAACCAAGTAAGTTATAAGGAGAGGCTGAATAGGCTGGGACTTTGTTCCCTGGAGTGTAAGAGGCTGAGGGGTGACCTTTTATAAAGGTTTATAAAATCGTGAGGAGCATAGGTAATGTGAATAGCAAATGTCTTTTCCACAGTAGGGGAGTCCAAAACTAGAGGGCATTGGTTTAAGGGAGATGGGCAAGATTTTAAATGGGACATGAGGGGCACTTTTTTGTAGACAGTTGTATGTATATGGAGTAAGTTGCCAGAGGAACTGATAGAGGTGAGTACAATTACAACATTTTAAAAGACATCTGTACAGGTACGTGGATAGGAAAGGTTTAGAGGGATATGGGACTACTTCAGCTTAGGAAACCTGGTCAGCATGGACGAGTTGGGCCAAGGAGTCTGTTTCCTTGCTGAATGACTCTATAACTCTGTGTATAACTACCGTCAAGTAATATTGAAGTATAGTTTGCACAAGAACTTCAGCTGAGGTCTGTGTACAAATAGAAACTCCAACTGGCAACAAGTTGTATTGCTTTGTTGGCAAGTGATCGGCTGTTGATGATAAAGGCCACCCTGCCTGCCAACAACAATGTCATTGGTTTTCAGGTAGCTAGACATCCTGGGGCTGTGAAATGGGTGGGGAAAACCATGACCATTTCCAGCTCGGGAGAAATGCCTGTTCTGTGCAGTAAAAGCCATTTTAAGCCTGAAGAAAACCAGCTTATCTTTCCTTTAGTTGCTGTAAGCTGTGACTTTTGTAGACATGAAACCAGCCCTGTCCCTCCAGCAAACCAGTGACAGCATCCAGAGAAAGATGACTGAGAAGTTCCGATCAGCACAAGAACCATCTTGGTAGGCCCTGCGAAAATGCTTTCCCAATTTTCTATCCATCCGTCACAGTGTATGTAAGTAATATCTTCCACATGTGGGAATATTCAAGCTGTTCACCACCATCCAGGTCAAGGCAGCACACTTGGCACCCCATCTAACATCTTCAATGTTCACGCTGTCCACCACCACCACAGGCAGCAACCTATACCATCTAAAGATGCACTGCAATGACTCCAAGAATCCTTAGGTAACACCTTCCAAACCTGCAACCACTACAGCCTAGAACAAGGGCAACAGATGTGAGGGACAACTTCTGCAAGTTGCCCCTCCAAATCACATACCGTCCTGACCTGAAACCATATCATTGTTCACTCATTGCTGACAGTGAATTCTAGAGCTCCTTCCTGAATAGCATTATGGATGTTACCCACTGTGCATGGACCACAGTGATTCTAGAAGGCAGCTCACCACCATCTTCTCGAAGGCTAGGAATGAGACAGAAATGTCTGCAGAGCCACCAGTAAACAAATACGGAAGAAAATAACTTCATGAGATCAGTTGCATCTTTCCATTAAATTGCAAGCAACGGTCCATCTATTTTTTTTTCTCTCTGGGATAGACCTGTGTTTTGTGCTCAGATGTGGCTTCTAAAAGCATAAGTGAATGCGTCAGCATGCTGATCAGCTTCAAGGGTTTGTTACTTGTAAGTTAATGGTTTCAGTGAAACTTCAAATGGCACGAGTGTAAATATTATACCATTATTCTTACATGCATTATGGAAGGGATTTTTCTGATTGTAATTGACTGACACGCTCTGCCTTATGAATTATTGAAGTTGCACATGGTACACATTGGAATTCATTATAGACTGGTAAGTTACATAGGATGTACAGTGCAGAAATAGACCATTTGGCCAATTTGATCTATGGTGTAACTTAGGATCCACATGTGCCTCTACCATCCAGCCTTTTCATCTAACCCTATCCCATTGTCTTTGTTTCCTTCTCATTTCATCTGGCTTCCCCTTAAATGCATCTATACTCGTTATCTCAGTTGTGCTTTGTGATAGTGAGTTCTACATTCTAATGGTTAATGAAGTTTCTTCTGAATTTATCACTAGTTTTATTAGTCACTAATTGACATTTTTGGTCTCTAGTTTTAATTTTCTATACAAACTATAGAACTGAATTACTAACCTTGCATCTAATGCTTTACAAGACATTCATAATTAAATAAATAAGGAATTCTCTAATAAAGCAAAATCAGTTTTGATCCAAGCTCAATTTTTTTCTCTTGCTCATGGGATATGGATGTCACTGACCAGAACAGCATTCTTAAGTGGCCTTCAGCAGTTGCTGGTGAGCGTGACTTTGAAGTGTTGCCGTCCATGTGATGTAGGTAGATGTACATTTGTGTTAGGGAGGGAGTTCCAGAGTTTTGGTGCACAGACATTGAAGTAACAGTGATTATTGGTTCATGTCAGGATGGTGCTTGAAATAACTCCCCTGAGGCTGGTATCCCATTACCAAGTCACCCTT